AGTTTTAAAGTCTTTAATAAATAAACTGTTTAGTACAGACGCGCCGACAGAGGCAGTACTATAATTTTGTTTGTTAAACATTTATTCTACGCGAATTATTATATTTTTCCTTAACCTTATAAATCATAATTAAGTTCTCTATCTTCTCTACAAAGGAAACCTTCTGCACACGTAAAACATAACGCTTACTTAAGTTGAGCGTTTTAAAGAACTGGCGTAACAATATTTGAAATCTAGAAAAAATCTTTTTTACAAAAATGAAAGTAAATATTATGTGTGATCAGTTTTCTAGTCCCATTCGATTTTATAATTAACCATATTTTCTCATGGAATGAGGATCAAGTAGCCAAGCTAAGTTGTACATCATTATACTAGAACTATGTTGAATGTTATGGAGGGAATAATGAAAAGTCATTTTCTAACAACATCCTTTGGCAAAAAATTCTCACAGATTAATATTGAACGCAAAAGAGAAAGTAGTGGAAAAAAGAAATGGCAGTATATTCTTGATCACCCTAAAATTATAGCTAAGTTTCGTAAATCTGGCCTAGGTAATATCAAAGAATTTTATGAAAATACATCTTAATTTGACTTACCCGAAAATGAGATAGCAAACATACCTATATTCAATATACCAGAAATTATTTCCCAAAAAATAATCCTGTCTCTTCTAGAAAAGAGTATAGCTCTATCTAAAACTAGTAAAGATAAGAAGGCAGATAAACAGGACAAATTGGCCTAAGACCTTTTGATTATATGGTGGAAGATACCTGTGCTTCAGTCAACTTAACATTTGGAACATCTGGTATATCTGTGACTTCTAAAATACCTGAGCCAGTAATTGATGAACCTGGAACTAGCAAGCTTCCCAATTTCAAGTCTATCAGTAAAGTCGTGAATATGCCTTCTAAAGAAACAATGCCTCCTAAAGAGATTCTAACCAATTTCCCAAAGCCTATTAATCAAGTATCATCTGCTATTCTCCTAATCAGAGCTCAGCATGAAGAGCGTCTTAGGAAAAAGGCAGTCAAACTTGGTAAGGATCCAGATGTTTTCATAATCATCACTGAAAAAGACAGTCTCGATTCTATCACATTTTGGGATAGGATAGAAACTGATGCTCGAATATATGGTTATGCAGAAGAGATGGAAGAAAATCCCAAAGAATATATAGATATAAAAGTACAGGAAAGATTGAAAAATCTGTTGTAGTCTTGAGAATAAAGAAGTTACATTCTTCTAGCTTGATACTGACGAGAAATAGAAAAAAACAGTAAGCATATTCCAAAATACAACTAGGTAATATAAAATTCTGAATTATTATTTTTTTGTTCATTTATCCTATCTACCCACAATTTTCAAATCAATGTAAATCTCTCCAGGTCAAGCAGATGATCTCAAAAAAAACCCATATAATTTATATCATTATTTTTCACTTCTTTAACCTTTTCAAGAGCCATCTCTGGTATTTTCCCTTTCTGAAGAAGCATAGTTCTGAGGAAATTTTTTGAATTAAACTTTTTTATACGTAATATAAAATTAGTACTTTTTAATATTCTTAACTATAGTGTCATAAAAACAATATGGCAAAAGTAGCTACAGATTTCATGAAATGTCATAAATGGACGTTTGAAACTCCATCATCTGAACTAGCTCAATATACAAAGAAAATTAGTAAAAGTTTGAAGGATGATCACAAGGTAAGATCTAATGCCAAAATGCGTTTTCAACAATTAGAGCTTACTAAGAAATAAGTAGAAGTTCTCATTCCTATCTGACCTTCTGGAAAGTATGAAGAAGGCAGGGATACTGTTAATAAATTTGCTTAAGAAATTATGAAAAATGATAATCTGTCTGAGAAAATAAACCAAATTTCATATGATTTAGGTAGTTTCGCACCTAATCTAGTTACAGGAGATTCACAGTTTACTTTATTGTAAAAAAAGTTATAGGATTGTAAAGCTGATCATCTCAAAAAAGAAGTGACCAAAATTTCTCATATTACTATTGAATCAAATAAAATTTAGGTATGATAGCTTGTACTTGACAAATTTGAAGGTATCGATTGGCCTGAATAATTCTTCTTAGAACCAGTTCAGAAAAGACTCAAGGAATGTGATTTCTCTTTATTACCTTCTAAGGAAGATCTGGTTGATGTAATCATAATATTAAGTATGCGACCGGCAAATGTGGCAATTCTTTATATTGATAAATATGAAGTATCAGATGAAATCTGATATGACCCTAAATATTTCTGATATTATACTAGCTACTTTAAAACTAAAATAGAAATAGGAGTAGGGGAACCTCAGCCTTTCCTCTCAATGAAAAAGGATCCAATACAAGCAAAGGAGTTTTTTGCTTGGTTTCAGAAAGCAATACCAGAAAAATTCACCTTCTTACGAAAAACAAAAGTGGTATAGTTAATGTAAATCCAATTAATCTTACTTTAGCTCAACATGGGATTACTTTAAATAAATTGAGGAAGATAGGTGCTAGCAGAATTCATGGAGTTAGGAACGATTCTTATTGCTAATATATACAAAAGTTAGCATGCAGACAAGTAGTAGGTTAGTAAAAAGATACAGCGTAATAAACAACCCACCTTGCAATTGTTTGAAGGAATCCCAAAAAAATCAAATAAAAATAAAAAAAATAGATTAATCCTGATAATGATTTGTATATATCTGTCTAATCAGACAGAGACATTTAAGATTTTTGATGAAAACTAATCATATACTGTATATGGATTAAAAGATTGGAATATCATTTATTAATTTTATTTTTTCGCTTAAGACAAGATCTAATATATAGAAAATATCATGAAAATGGTAATTGAACAAAAACATTCATTTAATAGTATACCTAGTGAGCAAGAAGTTATCAAATATACAGAAAAATTAGCCAAGTTATTTAAGCTAGACAAACAAAATGCATATATATATAGTGTGTTTTCCAGTAAAAATATGGTACTAAAGAAATAATTAGAAAATTATCATACCTAATATAATACTTTAGAAAGGAGGATAAAAAGGTTGGAAAAAGATGTAGGATCCTTTAAAATTGAATTAAAAGATTTAGACAAATGTGAATAGGAAAATTATGGTCGACTTAATATAAGAAATAGCTTTCTCATCAAAGATCAAAAAATATAAGGATTCCTCCTATTCATCTGAGTCTTCTGAAGAATCTGATTTGATTAAGATAATTGAGGTAAGAGAAAAAAAGGCTATTACTCATAAGCAATGAAAGAAGGTGCGACTCAGGCGTGTTAAGCAGTTAGTATTTTAAAGTGATGAACCAGACACTTTGCATATTTTCTGATCAAAGATATTAAGTTTAATAGATAAATAATCAAAATGGAAAGTGACCAAAAATATTTGACATTCTTAACCAATATTCACTCAAGTCTACTTTGCCTGAGACTAGTTCATCTGAATCAAGCTCATCTGAGACTAGTTCATCTAAATTAGTTTGTCATCTAAGAGTAGTTTATCTGAGTCTAATTTATCTGAATCAATTACATCTGAGACTAGTTTACCTGAGACTAGCTCATCTCAATCCAGTTCGTTCGATTCTGATATTAATAAAATAGTAAATATGGTTAAGCATCAAAGGATTTGAAAGCATCTAGCTCAAAGAAAAATTCAGAAGAAAATGTATATAACAAAAATAAGGCTATTAACTATCTGATAAATACCAGATCACAGTAATAAAGGTTGGTCCCTTTAGGACTGGTTTATTTTTTATATTTGGATATTATATGCTATAATAAAAATGGTTCTTATAAATTGCTCAGTTGAAGAAACTGGCTTTACTCAAGTAATACTCGATGCAGACGCTAATATAAGTTATGTTAGTGAAAAATGTATTGATAAAATGAGAATGGTATATGAAAAAGATGATATCAATTATAGAGTAAATGGGATTTATTCTACATTAGGAAAGGTTAATTTATGTTTTACCTTTAATAATGGCAAGAAGTATAAAAGCATACCTACTGAATTTATAGTTGTCGGATCAGATTAGGCAGATCATTTTCCTGATTTAATCTTAAAAATGTCATGGTTACGAGAAAATGGTGCAACTTTAGATATATATAGTTCAAAACTATTATTAGACAATAATTTTGCGATCCTATTTGAAGAAGTAAATTATATTTTGACATTATCTAATAGTCAGATTTGAGCAATGACTGATTTTCCCAACCCAAATGATAGCCTAAAGCAGTGATCATCTGCTCAGAAGATTTTTTCTGATTGAAAGATATTCTAATCATATAAAAATACATACAGTTAATTTACTAGAATAACTTCTGCCTAAACTAATACTATTTATTCTAAAGTATCTTTCAGAATGGAACCTAAAAAATTCTCGCAATATAAATAATATATAGGAAAGAGAAACAAATCATATATTGTTCGAAAGAATGAAATTTCAAATGTGAAGATTGTCTCAAAGTAATTATACAGTAAAGGAATTTTATTCAAAATTGAAAGAGATTAATTTAAACAAAGACTATCCAGAATGGCTTCTTAAAAATCTATTCCTCAAAGGATTATCACCTGAGAATATGTTTAAAATTCTTATAGATAGTTTACAAGCGCTTGTGTTAGATGAGATAGTAGAAAGACTTAGTCTTCTCCCTTAAAGCATGACTTCTACAGGAGAAAAATGGGGGTCGCATAATTTTATTTTTTGTTTAAAGATACAGATATATTATTTATAATACATATAAGTGTTTTAATATAGCAGAAGTATTAGAACAGATTTTATATTTCTTAGCGATAGATAAATCCTTCTATCCCACTTTATATATTTCTTTATTGGAATAGAGATGCAGTGCTTCTATTCTATGGAAACACGTTGAGCTAAATAGTGTGGATAATCAAATTCAATTAAAAATATTTTTAAAAATAGTATATAGGGAAAGACGTAAACTAATTTATAGCTTAAAATTAACCCATCTTAAAATATCAGACTACTGGCTTTCAAATAGAAAATCAAAAGTATTATATGCAGGTTTCAAAATATAATTCATTTAGATTTTGAAGGAAGTATGGAGTCTGAGTCTGTTGGGAAAGTTTTAAAGCTAATAGTAGAATCATACTTAAATTTGAAGTATCTTAATATATCTGCTTTATGTAATGCATTTCGATCAAAAAATGATAAAGTCTAACTGCAATCACAGATTCATGTCATAAATTAGAATATCTAAATATTTCTAATCACAAAAAGTTTTCTGAAATATCAATTTATAAGGTTATTCATTTTTGTTCAAGACTCTGATAACTTAATATTAGCTATTGTGAAATTACTGATATAACTATCGAAGAAATTGTTAAATCATGTCTTAATTTAAAATATCTAAATCTGAGAGAGTGTTTTAAAATTAGTAAAGAAGTCATAGATCAGCTAAATTCAAATACCTATATTGAGAATTTTCAGGATCAGAATAATATTCGAGCTGAGATAAGGTGAATGATAGAGCTAATATTAACACAGCCTCCAGTTGTTAATATTAAAACTTGGTTTCACCAGGCATTCTGACAACCTAATTTCAAAATATCTATGATAGTTGACTCTGGTGTTCTGGTGTTGATCACCCCATTATAGCTATAAACAGACAAATACTGACTCAAAGTATCATTTCCACCTTAATGTCGAGATCTGTTGATAGATTACCTGATGATCAAGCCAGATGGTAAAACTCTACTGATCTAACTAGTCCAGAGCAGTGATTATTGGCTCAAAAGATTTTTTCTGAGCCACAGATTGTGCAACAAAAATATGCAGATCACAGGACCAATTCATGTGACATATATAATAATTTTCTTATATATCAAAAAGAAGCTATGCATGTTAACTAAAGATGGAGTTGTAATTAATTTTAAAATTTTTAACTAGTTGTAACTTAAGTTGCAACTTATTAAGTTGCAACTATTTATACATTTTTATATTAAAATAAATTTTGCAAGGAGTTGCAACTTACCAAGTTGCAACTTCTTAATTACAGTACTATCTTTAATGTTAATCAGTACTTTATTTTTTTATTAAGTATAGCAGATCTATTAGCAAAATATCAAATAATGAGATAGATGCTGAGACAGAAGAGTATTATAATGTATTTATCAAAGAATATGGATCGAGATATGAATAGGATAATGAAGGGATTTCTGAATATACATCAGAGTGGAAAGACTGGGAAGATTTTTTTTTGCGAAATCAAAATATATTGGAAGACAAAAGCAATTAGGCATTGGAGAAATAAAATACTTAAGAAATTTGTGTATAGTTTACCTAGCGTAAGAAATCCAGCATTATTATTCCATATATTCATACAATCTAATGCTTTTCACCTCTCACAAATTTTAAGCCTAATAGAATTACTATGTGATTCTGAGGAACTTCGATAGGAATTATGGCTATATAGTATTGATACAAATGAGATTAAAATTTCTCTTGATAAAATCCGTAAATAAAGTCATAGGTTTTCTGAAAATTCGAAATAACCAAAATGTTTTACTGATTTTAAAAATCTCCGAATCATATAAAATGTATACAGTTAATTTACTTGATCAGTTTACGCTAGAACTAATACCATTTATTCTAAAAAATCTGTTGATACAGGATCTTAAAAAATGTTGTACCATAAATAATATATGGAAAAATAAAATGCTTTGAGAAATTCGTAAAAGATTAATAATGAATTGTATATTTATTCGAGTTAACATAACTATTAAAGCACTTATTGATTCCAAATCCTTCTATGATAGCATTTGTAAGGCACTTGCCAAAAAAATGGATTTATATATTTCTAGAGAATATG